TTTAATTCTACAATTTTGTAATTGTATATGCACTTAAGGGCAGTCATATTTGTAATTTGATGCTGGGTCTGCTCATATTTATGCCTTACAATGGCAGCCCATAGAGTTGTTAGGTTTTTTTCATTCAACCAGCTGACTCGCTTTCCCCAACCACACACTCTGTGGAGGGGGAATCCTCCTCACTGCGCTATTGTATTCTAACAATAGACCTCCGCATCATCAGAATAAACCGATCACCTGTTGCAGGCTATAGCCTGCAGTGCTGATCGAACGGGAAAATCCCTCAGGAAAGTTGTACAGAATCTCATCGATAGATTGACTTCTGTACAACCTCAGTGCCTATATACAGTGAAGGAAATAAGTATTTGATCCCCTGCTGATTTTGAATGTTTGCCCACTCACAAAGAAATGATCAGTCTAAAAATCGAATGGTAGGTGTATTGTAACACAGAGACAGAAGAGCAACAAAAAAAATTCAAAAGAAATGCATGTCTAACAAATGATGCACTGATTTGCATGTTCATGAGGGAAATAAGTATTTGATCCCCTTCACAAAACATGACTTAGTACTTGGTGGTGGCAAATCCCTTGTTGGAAATCACAGAGGTCAGATGTTTCCTGTAGTTGGCCACCAGGTTTGCACACATCTCAGGAGGGATTTTGGCCCACTCCTCTTGGCAGATCCTCTCCAAGTCATTAAGGTTTGGTGGCTGACGTTTGGCAACTCGAACTTTCAGCTCCCTCAGATTTTCAATCGAATTAAGGTCTGGAGACTGGCTAGGCAACTCCAGGATCTTAATGTGCTTCTTCTTGAGCCACTCCTTTGTTGCCTTGGCCGTGTGTTTTGGGTCATTGTCATGATGGAACACCCATCCATGACCCATTTTCAATACCCTGGCTGAGGGAAGACGGTTCTCACCCAAGATTTGATGGTACATTGCTCCATCCATTGTCCCTTTTGATGCGGTGCAGTTGTCCTGTCCCCTTAGCAGAAAAACACCCCAAAAGCAGAATGTTTCCATCACCATGTTGTAAATAAATTCTGGACCAAAACCAGAAATTCAAGATTAACTTTTATTAAAAGTAGCACACAAAAGTTGGACAGAAAATAAAATTAAATATATAAAATAATAATAAAAAAAAAAAATCGGCATTATTGGCACCTTTTTTTTTTTTTTTTTTTCTGCAAAGCGCTGATAACCTGATCATTTTAACAATACTTTTTGGCAGCTGATATATTGGTGCATCACGGATAGACTTCCTGCATTTCTTGTACCCAGAGACCATCTGATACTAGACAAACTTCTATGAGGGAGTTTGGGAGCAGCAATTATATGTGCCAGTCAAGAGATTTTTCTTCATTCTAAAGAACATTTGATTGAGTAAGAGATTGCTGATTGATATGAAATGAGAAGTTCACAAATGGTCAAGTTGCCAATCTCTAGTACAGTTTGCAAACTGCAAACAGGACACAGGAGACCTAGTGAGCTCTGGTTGAGTGAACAAATAATTGAAGTGATGGTGAACCTATAGTTTCAATTGGAAAGGGAAGGTTGCAATGGTTAGAGGAGACCTTTGTGAGAGTCCCATACACAATTTCCTTATTCTAGGAAATCCTTTTTTTTTTTTTTTTTTTTTTTTTCCCTTATTGTGCTGTTTTACCCAGGAATTACAGTGGATATATACACAGTATTTTGTGTGTGTGTGTGGTTCTAGAATAGGCAGAAACAGCACTGGAATAGTTAAGGAGAAAATGTCTAACCAGCGTGTTTAGTCTTCATACTCCTTCTCCAGGCCTTTGTTCTTCCCAGGGGTTGGTGAACCTAAATTTGTTTTATTTGTAAGTACCAAACGGTTCCAGCTGTGAGGACTCTCTGGCTCAGGGCAAACCTGTTTACTTTAGCCGGCTGCTCACCTCTGGGGGATCTGTTTTTCATTGCTCCCTGTGTCTGATTACACTTGTGATAATCTCCCAGAGCTCCAGGCAGGAAATGGCAGCGGACACAAGCCGTACTTTCCATGATTTTCCATAAAGTCTCCTTTGTTTTACTGCGTTCTCAGACTGATTGCATAAAGAGTTCCTTGTGACCGGCTACATGACACAAAATCACTCGCTCGCTTTCATTTGCAGCAGAATGGACCCTGATTAGCGCACGCAGAAATTTACATGCAAATATTCACTAGATTATATTTAATACTAAAGTCTGGGAGCTTTCCTGAGAGGCCTTACAATGGCTTTCTGAGAATGCTGTTCAGTGTATATGTTTTAGTTGCGTAAAACTGTTTAAAATAACACCAGACCTTTCTTTATAGGGAAAGCATAGTGTAGAGCAGGGGTATCATACTCCATTTCATTGCAGGCCATGTCAGCATTATGGTTGCCATCAAAGGGCCGGATGTGTCTGTAAGACTAGATGTCAGGAGTACCCCATCACCCATTACATCAGATGTCAAGAATCCTACACCCTCCCTAACATCACTGTGAACCCCCCTTTGGGGGCAGAGCTGGAAAGCAGAAAGTGCAGGGTCTGGAGGAGGATCAGAGAAGGAGTACAGTCAATTACCAGAGTCTGCTGAATGCTGAGACCAGGGGAGGCAGAGATGAGGGGGTGCTGCAGCTGCAGGATTTGGCAGATGAGTTCTATTCTCCTCTCTGCTGCCAACTGCTGTGATAAGGTGGGGGGTGGAGACAAGGGAGTACCTGCAGGAGAGGTGCAAGGGCCACATGAAATGGCCTGAAGGGTCGGATTTGGCCTGTGGTGTAGCGTGAGCACAGATGTGCTTAATATTGCAGTGCTTACTATGCTAGGCTTTACCCAAACATTATCCCAAACCTCCCTCTCCTCTAGATCATGTTCTAGCATTCAAAGTATTTACCTTGTTACTGTAGCAACAAACCGCTTTCATCACTCTGTAACCTCATTACCAGGCTTATAAAATTTCTTTTGCTGGAAGGTCAATTCTTATTGACTTAAGCATGCCTCCAGAACTACTTTTCCAAAGTCCTTCCTCTATACCAGTGGTCGGCAAGCCGCGGCTCGCGAGCCACATGCGGCTCTTTACACACATTAATGCGGCTCTTCTGTGTGCCGGGCGCCCGCTCCCCTCCCTCCTCTCGTGCGGCCGCCCCAAAAGTCAGGACTCTGCAGCTAGCCCAGCAATGGGCAAACTACAGTCCGCATACGGCCCGGCGCACCTTTTAATCCGGCCCGCGGAGCGTGGCAAACATTGGCTGTCAGGATGTAGGCGGGGCAGCGTGACAAACTCCTCTCCTCTCACAGTCCGCCCTGAAGACCGGAACGGCGTGGGAACACGGCGAGAGGAACGCGCGGAGCAAAGGTAAGTGAATTGACACAATATGGGGAATGAATTACTATAGGGGGGATGAATTACTATATGGGGGATGAATTACTATATGGGGGATGAATTACTATATGGGGGATGAATTACTATATGGGGGATGAATTACTATATGGGGGATGAATTACTATATGGGGGATGAATTACTATATGGGGGATGAGTTACTATGGGGGATGAGTTACTATATGGGGGATGAATTACTATATGGGGGATGAATTACTATATGGGGGATGAATTACTATATGGGGGATGAATTACTATATGGGGGATGAGTTACTATATGGGGGATGAATTACTATATGGGGGATGAATTACTATGGGGGATGAATTACTATATGGGGGATGTATTTTCAGTTTTAAAAATGTGGCTCTCAAAATAAATTTCAATTGTGGTTTTGGCAAGATTTGGCTCAGTTGAAAAAAAGGTTGCCCACCACTGCTCTATACAGTGTATGGGCAGTCAAGGCAGCAACATTGCTTTGCTGTGAAAAGCATTCACATGCTTATACCTATTTAATGTAAAAAGCCGTCCTTGAGCTCTAGTCATTTGTTCTTGTGGACTACAGTGATTAAATGAATGTGCTTAAGGCCTGTGGCAGCCATTGTTAAGGTCTCTCACTCTTGGGGGTTCTTTGAAATTTTGTGTTCCCATCCACCTCTTGCTTTCTTCATTTTAAAAACAATGGGTGGTAACAGGACCAGGAACTTTCAGCACTGGGGCCCCGCTAAACCTGCAGATGTATTAAAGGATTAATCCATATTTACTGACAAATTGAGATACAGTTATGCTACTGTGGGTAGCACAGTGGTCCTGTGTGTAGCACTTTTGCCTGCAGCTCTGGGGTCCCTGGTTTGTACAGTATGTCATGGAGTATGCATTTTCTCCATGACTTTACATGGGTGTGCTCCGGGTACTCCGGTTTCCACTCCAAAGATATGCTGGGAGGGTATTGGCTGTCTAAAATTGGCCATAGTATAATATTCTTCTGAGCTCACTCAGAAATGGCTGCATCACTAACAGCAGATAAAGCACTTTGAGTCCCCGAGCAGAAAAGCCCTATAGAAATACAAATTCTAATTACGAATACATTAACCTTTTTCTCGTTCCAGAAAAGTGGTAGTAAAGTCTGCTTTTTCTCTTGTACCTAAAAGTGAGTGTATAATGAGGCTTTCCTGTAGGTACGGTGAATATCTCCTAAATGTACATAGTTTAAGAGCTATTTACATATGTAGCAGCCAGTGATGTCACCAGCGGGTCCACACTGTGTTCTCAATGGATGGCATTCTGTCCATATAAGAGCTGTGCCACGACTGTCACTCCCACACACATGTGCTGGACTGAGGTAATCGTGGATCAGCCATTCAAATAGCCGGAGCCCGACAAGCGGTAGGATGAAGAATGAATCTGTCAGCGGTGACAGCGCGCCAGTGGAGGGATCTGTTTTTAGGTAAGTTTGTCATTAATACGTTAACCTGCAGGGGGATCAGTTTTTTTTACCTTCTTTTTTTAATACAGTTTACTACCGCTTTAAATAGAGTGTCTAATCTGCAGCATAAATGCAAATTATAACCGAATATAAAATATTTTGCAGCCTTGTATGTCTCTCCTTTGACTTTCATTTTGCATTTTTTTCTTTAGACAAACTGTTGTGAAGGGCTCTCTCCCTCACCCTTTTGCTCTAACCTTGTTCGGGGACACAATATACTGGACGGACTGGACCACACATTCTATCCTGGCCTGTAACAAGTATACTGGAGAGGACCGCCGTGAGGTGGACACCAATATCTTCTCTCCTATGGACATCCATGTGTTCAGCCAGCTGAGACAGCCAAATGGTAAGTACTCAGTCATGTTTATCCAGTAAAGCAGATTTTAGTTTAACGGAGAAAAAGCGATTATTAGTTTTTTGCTCCCTTGCCTTTACACAAACAGGAAACCATTTCCACAGTGGGGACTTGTATAGCATTAAAAGAGAAGTATGACCAAAGCTTTTTTTGGCCATACTTCTCTTCTGGGTTACATAATTGCATGCACTTTTTGCTCTCCTATGACCCAGAATCGCCCAACAATAGGCTAAAGCCCTCAGTCAGCTAACGTCACAGCGCCGCTCTGGAAGGGCCCAACTGTATTGTCAGGATTCATCCAGCTCCCAGATTAAAGCTGGCTCTGGCTCTCATCGCCCAGCTGAGTGCTGAAGCCAGCTACACCCACACCTTCTCCAGCCTGGTGCTCCATTGAGCGCTGGGGGAGCAGAGAGGAGAGCAGTGACTGGCAGTCATTGCTCTCCATTCCAAGAACTGAGCGATATGTGGTCAAGTTTTAAGGCTTTGAGCTGGTAGGGACAGCTGCAGCATCAGACTGATGCTGCAGCATGGAGGTGAATATGTACAGTTGCAAGAAAAAGAATGTGAACCCCTTGGGATTACGTGGAGTTTTGCATGAATTGGGTATAAAATGTGCTCTGAACGTCATCTAAGTCACAACAATAGAAGAACACAGTCTGCTGAACATAATACTACACAAGCATTAGATGTTGCCATGGTTTAATTGCACATAACATGTAAACATTCACAGTGCAGGGAGGAAAAAGTATGTGAGGCCCTAGCTTAATGACTTCTCCCAGAGCTAATTGGAGCCAGGAGTGAGCCAACCTTGACTCCAATCAGTGTGATGATATTGGATGCGTTGCTGACAGCTGTCCTGCCCTTAAAAAAACACACACCTGTTTTGGGTTTACTGGTTTCAAGAAGCACTGTCTGATGTGAACCAGGCCTTGCAGAAAAGAGCTCTCAGAAGACCTACGATCAAGAATTGTTGACTTGCATGAAGCTGGAAAGGGTTACAAAAGTATCTCCAAAAGCCTTGATGTTCATGTGTCCACGGTAAGACAGACTGTCTACAAATGGAGAAAGTTTAGCACTGTTGCTACTCTCCCTAGGAGCGGTCGTCCTGTAAAAATGACTGCAAGAGCACAGTGCAGAATGCTGCATGAGGTAAAGAAGAATCCCAGAGTGTCAGCTAAAGACCTACAGAAATCTCTGGCACATGCTAACATTTTTGTTGACACATCTACAATAAGGAAAACATTAAACAAGAATGGAGTACATGGGAGGACACCACGGAGGAAGCCATTGCTGTCCAAAAAGAATATTGCAGCATGTTTGAAGTTTGCAAAAGAGCACCTGGATGTTCCACAGCACTACTGGCAAAATATACTGTGGACAGATGAAACCAAGATTGAGTTCTTTGGGAAGAACACACAACACTATGTGTGGAGAAAAAAAGGCACAGCACACCAACATCAAAACCTCATCCCCACTGTAAAACATGGCGGAGGGAGCATCATGGTTTGGGGCTGCTTTGCTGCCTCAGGGCCTGGATGGATTGTTGTCATTGATGGGAAAATGAATTCCAGAGTTTATCAAGACATTTTGCAGGAAAACGTACGACCATCTGTCCGCCAACTGAAGCTCCACAGAGGATGGGTGATGCAACAGGACAATGACCCAAAGCATACAAATAATTCAACAAAACAATGGCTGCAACAGCACAGAATACGCCTTCTGGAGTGGCCCAGTCAGTCCTGACCTCAACCCAATTGAAATGCTGTGGCATGACTTAAAGAGAGCGATTCACACCAGTCATCCCAAGAATATTGCTACACTGAAACAGTTTTGTGAAGAGGAGTGGTCCAAAATTACTCCAGATCGTTGTGCAGGTCTGATCTGCAACTACAGGAAATGTTTGGTTGAGGTTATTGCTGCCAAAGGATGGTCAACCAGTGAAGTCCAAAGGTTCACATACTTTTTCCTCCCTGCACTGTGAATGTTTACATGTTATGTGCAATTAAACCATGGCAACATCTAATGTTTGTGTAGTATTATGTTCAGCAGAGCTGTGTTCTTCAATTGTTGTGACTTAGATGACGTTCAGAGCACATTTTATGCCCAATTCATGCAAAACTCCATGTAATCCCAAGGGGTTCACATACTTTTTCTTGCAACTGTATGTATGTATGTAGGTTTTTTTTTTTTTTTATATACCCTACACATCTCCTTTAAGCTGGACAGTTCTGATCCTTTTTCATTCTATCCAAAACTAAAAAGTTTTGAATGTGTTGCTACATGCAAATACCTGCCTGATTATAAAAGGGATTTTCCTCTTTCATAGAGAGAACCTTTGCTTTGCAAAAACTCCTTTTGAAAATGCATTGGTTTTTAGTTTGTTTTTCAAGGCCAGTACTGCACGCAAATCATGTAGGCCTAAGGCCTATGGAAGCCCTGAGCAGCACTTTTTCTGAGGATGGTATTTCAGTCCCTCTGATCCATCATTTATCCTCCTCACTGCTAGCATAGCTCGATGCTAACACAGGAGATTTAGGTCCTCTGTAAACAGCAAATCAGCAAAGCTTCCAAAATTGGATTCCTTTGCCAAGCTGCTGCAGGTGGGGCAGGTTGTAGCGGCTTTCACAAATGGGTATTTTATTACTCAGTCTAATTACATTTATGTTCCTTTTCTTGCAGCTACCAATCCATGTGCTGGTCACAATGGTGGTTGTTCTCACCTATGTCTGATGTCACCAGCAGAGCCTTTCTATCAGTGTGCCTGTCCCACGGGTGTGCGCCTCAAGGATGATGGAAAGACCTGCATGCATGGTAAGTGGGAATAGATTGTCTTTTTGACAAAAAAATGCATGAGGCTGGTTTATTTGTGAAAGTGACATAAATTTGTTTCCTTTTTACAAGTTGCAGAAATGTTTTTTACAGCTTTGCAACTGTGGGTGATGTTTGTTTTGTTTTTAATTTTCTTCTTTGTTGCTTCTCATGTTGCCATATTTTTAGATATTCCTCTGTCGACCTGTCAGAATCTGGTGCATGAATCTGTGCTCCCTTCCTGGCCACTGTGCCCATTACACAGTCAAGTGCATGACTGATGTGTTTTGTAGTTGGGTGGGCGGGGCTTGATGGGAACTGACAGTACATTTTCCCCGTCAGGCCCTCCTTGCCTTTGATTGACGGTGCGTGACAGTGAGCACATCCATAGCTGTTGTTCAGTCCAATAGCGACTTTTAAATCCACCCAGTGCCATCTGCTGTTAACCAAAAGCAAAATGGACCTGATGGGGAACTAGTTTCTCTGTTCTTCTTCAAGCTTTGCCCACCTAACTGGTGCTACGGCCTGGAGAGTAGTTCCCTCTCAGGCCCACCTCCCCAAATCTTGGCAATGTAATATTTGGATAATGACATCACCAGTATCCCTGACCCTTGGTTTACATCCCCAATTACAAAAAATTTTTGCCGCTGTCTAAAATCTACATAAAAACCGAATGCAAAGATTTACAATTCTCATAAACCCATAATTTAGTCACAATAGAAAATAGAAAACATATCAAATGTTTAAAACTGAGAAAATGTACCATTTTAAGACGGAGCTCCACCCAAAAGGGGAAGTTCTGCTTTAATGACTGCTCCCCATTAAGGATTGGCACCTTTGGGGAGTGGGTATCTGAAATTGACAGGTATCCGCTCTCACTTCCGCTGCGATCACCTAGGCCAGGGGTCTCCAAACTATGGCCCTCCAGCTGTTGAAGTACTAAAAGTACCATCATGCCTCCTGGGAGCCTTGCCTGTGGCTTTCAGTTCTGCAAGGCCTCATGGGACTTGCAGTTCTTCAACACCTAGAGGGCCATAGTTTGGAGACCCCTGGCCTAGGCGATCGGGAGTGGAAGCCGCAAGCCGTCACAGCCGGATGCTCACGCTGAAGATGCTGGCGCCGGGAACACAGGACGGCTGTGGAAACGGGTTGCGGGGAGGACACTGCTGCATCAAAGGAAAGGTGAGTGGCTGTTTTTTAAGTCAGCAGCTACAGCTTTAAGAAAATCACGGTCTGAACACAGTTTGCCATGCCATCCAAATAAGCACATTAAAGCACTAATCACACGAAGAGTCCGCCATACCTGAACATGATCCAGAAAAGCCACTCTCTTCTCTGGGCCAAAGCTGACTTTAATATGGTCTGTTGCAAAGTGGAAAACTGTTCTGTGGTCAGACGAATCAAAATTTGACATTCTTTTTGGCAACCATGGGCGCCGCGTCCTCTGGACTACAGAAGAGAGCTTCCAGCTTTATCAGAACTCTGTTCAAAGGCCTGCATCTCTGATAGTCTGTGGCTGCATTAGCGCATATGGAATGGGCAGCTTGCACATCTGGAAAGGCACTGTCCATGCTGAAAAATATGTCCAGGTTTTAGAGCAGCATAGGCTCCCATCCAAACACCTTTTTCAGGGAAGGTCTTGCGTATTTCAACAGGACAATGCTAAACAGCATAATGTATCTATGGCAACAGTGTGACTTTGTAGTAGAAGAGTTTGGGTACTTAACTGGCCTACCTGCAGTCCATACCTTTCATCAGTTGCAAATATTTGGCACATCTTAAAATGAAAAATAAAACAAAGACGACGACCTAGGGATGTTGAGTAGTTAGAATCCTAAATCAGACAAAAATTGGACAACATTCCTCTCCCAAAACTCCAGCAACTGGTCTCCTCACAGTTTCCAGACGTTTAAAGAGTGTTAGAAGAGGATATGCTGCACCGTGGTAAACATGGCCCTGTCCCAAGTTTTTTGAGATGTTGCTGCAATTACCTAACAGGTATCTTTCTGTTCTTGCAGCATTTTCAAGAAACCAGACATGGGGAAACCTGCATGTATTTTCCCAGACATACACTTCTAGTTTTAGGTGGGCCTGTCGGGACACAGTATGTAATGTACATGCATTTGTTTCTGTGATGTAAATAATATGGTAATCATTACCAGCTGTGTAGGGGAGGGGTTAACACTGGGTGTTGTATGTAAGTGGGGGGACCTGTCAGCATAGTGGTATAGCCCTGCACAGTCAGATAACAATCACTTCACAGCTGTTCATGGCTGCCTTTTGTCTGGCTCCTCTCACGCAACTGCAGCTGCCTGGATTAGTCAGCAAGACAGAAATGGCAGGTATTTACAGGGCAACAAAACCCGTCCTCTGACTACCACCTGTATTTTAGCTTCCAGATCTCTACCACTCTTACAAAACTGTGTGTGTCACCTCCCAGAGCCCCTCTGGGCTGTCCTCCGCAGCTCAGGCAGAATCTCCCTCCCTTGTCTGCCACTGGAATGTTGGACCTGCCTCTAGATCAACATTGAGGAATTTTTCTCTGTGGGCCCCATGTTTGTGTAAGGGGGGTTGGGGTGCCTAAATAGTCATTCTCAGAGACCTTGCAGAGGAGGAATCAGTTGTCACTAGACTAAACAGAACTGGATCTGGTTCCTTGTGGACTTACGTCGGGGGAGCAAGGCTGCAAGTTTTTATTTATTTTTAAGCACTGCATGTTATCCCTGGAAAAAGGTTACAGAAAGCTTAATTTATTAGTTCTACTACTGTGGTCTTTGCAAATATTTGTACTTGCACTGCGTATTGTGAATGTTTTTCATAATGTAGAGTAAGTTCCTTATTAGTGTGCCCCACAAAGGTTTTTTTAATGGTCCCTCTGAGTAAGGGTCTCTATAAAAAAAAAAAAAAAACCACAGTATTTTTTTATGCCCTGTTTTAAGAATAGCAATGATTTTAAGCCTGATACATTTGTATGCCCTGTTTAACAATAGCAATGGTTTTTAAGCCTGATACATTTTCCCTAACATGAACCAACAAAGTGGTAGGTGGGAGACTGTCCTGTAACCCCAGTGAATATTGGCACTTAATTGTTCTCACGATTACTGCAACTGGTGACATTAGATATAGGGTAGCAAACGGAAGCTATAAAAATTTTGACCTGGAAAGCGTCCTATGGAATGACTAGCCTTCATTCTTCTCTTTGTATATGATTCAGAACTCTGTGTTTCAACCTTTATGATGAGCAACGACCACAGACTTAATTGAATTATGCCTGTTAATGTGGGATCTTGCTGCAGATGAAGCTTCGATGTCCGAGTCCATAAACTCTAAACTTTCTGTATTGGCTAAGCTGAAAAACTACTGAATATTAGGCCCGGTCATGTTTGTGCTTTCTATATTGTTACAGCAAATCTTCCTAATGCTAATATTGGACTTTTTGGTGGACATTGACAAGTGAAATCACATATGTGCATCTTGTTTTTCTCTGCAACTCTATTTGAGTTCCATTATCTTCTTGTTTGGCCAGCTTACCCCTTAGTACTGACTTTAAAACACTTTGTTTGCCCTTCCCATCAGGGATGTGAAATTCCTATCGCCCTATGCCCGGGACATGCAGTTCATTTACTTGCTCAGCTGGGAAACATGGAATAGCTAAAGTATATAGAATTCTCACAGATTTAGACACAAACACTAAACCATTGCACATTGTGAATTGGGAAAGAGATATGGGGGTGGTATTAGATGAAGGAAAACAGAGGAAAATAAACAGATTAGTTCACGGAAATGTAAGTTTGAGGGATGTAGAATTAAATTACAAATGTCTGACAAGATGGCACATTGTTCCGAGTGTGGAGAGTAAGATAAGTGCGGAGAAATCACAGTGGTGTTGGCGAGAGTGTGGGGAAGTGGGGACAGTTTTTCATATTTGGTGGGAATGTCCAAAGATTCAAATATTCTGGAAAAAAATAATATATTTAATAGAGAACATCATTGAAATGAACATCGGGTTAGATCCTGGGTTGTGCCTGTTACTCATTTACTTGCTCAGCTGTGCATAAAGAGTGTCCAACTCTCCACTTTCTTGATGAGCACCCAATCATTGCTCATTACACTGCAAGGTGTCTCCCCTCCCTGCTAGTCCCCGGGTGCGGGTGCTGGAAACAAACAGGGAGGTGCAGGAGATAAATAAACAGCACAATGTTTGTTTATTTTATTTATTGCAGGTGTTTGTATAGCGCTGTCAATTTACTCAGTGCTTTACATATATATTGTACATTCACATCAGTCCGTAACCCTCAAGGGGTGTACATTTTAAGGTCCCCAACGTACATTCATACATACACATACTAGGGACAATTTAGACAGGAGCCAATTAACCTACCAGCATGTCTTTAGAGTGTAGGAGGAAACCGGAGTACCCGGAGGAAACCCACGTAGACACGGGAAGAACATGCAAACTCTAGGCAGGTGGTGCCATGGCTGTGATTCAAACCTACGACCCGAGTACTGCCAGGCGGACGTGCTAACCATTTAGCCACTAATGTTAAAAACATTAAGTTTAAGTTGCCATAAAGCCTCATTTGTTTTTAAAAGCACCGCTGCCTAACAAAAAAAAATCAACCCTAGCTATTAATAAAAACCTTATTTAAATAAGGTTTTGGTTAAAATTATAAGTTTTTTTTTTTTTTTTTTTTATCAGGACAGGTAGATTGTCATGAGGGACAAGTAGATTGGGACCCCAATGTTGTCTCTTGGACAAGTAGTTTTTAAAACAAATTTCCACACGTCTGTACCCATGTTCCTCTTCATGCTTTTCTCATGAACAAACAGTTTTAACAAAAGTAAGAAAATTGAGCGTTGGTAAAATGTGTGCCTGATGGGGGGGGGGGGGGGGGGGGGATGAAAGGTAAGAATTCCTTGGTTTTTGTAAATGTAATATAATATCAGAGATTGAACAATTAGCTTTTTAATGTATTATTCTAGCCAGCTGGAGGTTTTTGTGGCAATAAGGATCCTTAATATGTATATAGACCTTGTTTACACTTGTGTCTGGGAGTATTCACATACTGTGATGCGTTGCATCATTGCAAAGATTCCCACCATCCTGCCGCTGGGCAGTACCGCTACCAAACACGACCTATTCATATTGATGGGGTTGTGCTCCAGCAGCAATCCGAGTTCTAGGCTTGTTTTTGTGGTGCATTATTCCCATTGAAAAAAAAGCCCATTGACTTAGAAAAAAAGGCAATCAAGAGGCAGCAGTTTCATCTCCTAAAAGCCTGTCAGTCACCCCTTTGCTGTTTTTTGTAAAAGTGATCCAACTCAAGTATAATTATGCTCTTACAGTAAAAGACACTTAGGTCTGGTTCACACCAGTGCGATTTCAGGTCCCAAGGAGCTGTGATCATTGGAGATCACTAAACCTGTACATCTGAATGACAACTTAGCAGCTGCTGATGACCAGAAGACCTGGGATCTTGGCCATAGGTAGTCACAGAGGGCTCTCTTTATCTATGTGAATGAGGCCTAACGGATGTTTGTGCTGGAAAACTGTCATTAAAATTCATGTATATTTACTTTTCCCTGTATGGTCTTGAGTTCTTCTTTAAAAAGTCTTTTCTTTTTTTTTTCCCCTCAATACTTCCTTTTGTCTTTTTAATGTGTTTCGTTGCTTTTCAGGTGCTACAGAGCTGCTGCTACTTGCCCGGCGGACAGATCTCCGGCGAATATCCCTGGACACCCCTGACTTTACGGACATTGTGCTCCCTCTGGATGACATCCGCCATGCCATTGCCATAGACTATGACCCAGTGGATGGTTACATATATTGGACTGACGATGAGGTGCGAGCCATTCGACGGGCTCAGGTTGATGGTTCTTCCAGTCAGTTCATTGTTGTCTCTCAAGTATCCCACCCTGATGGAATCGCTGTGGACTGGGTGGCTCGCAACTTGTACTGGACAGACACGGGAACTGACCGCATCGAGGTGACACGGTTAAATGGAACTATGCGCAAAATTTTAATATCTGAAGATCTTGATGAACCCAGAGCTATTGTCTTGGATCCAACCAATGGGTAAGTCCTCTTTTGATTTTTTTTTTTTTTTTTTTTTTCCGGGTATAAAGTAGTGTATATTGAATCGGACCTGCCCTAAAAACTCTTAAGCCCAGGTTCACACCGGATCCAAGTTTGAGTTTCAAAGTCACATTTTATTGCGACTTGGAAAAATTCTGCGACTTTATGCACAGATGTCTATGCAAATTGCACCTGAAATAGCAAAAAGTAGTGCAGGAACTACTTTCAAAATAGTCGCACACAATTTTAACGGTTCCATTGCCGACAAGAAGGTGTGACTTGTCATGCGATTTTAAACGGTCAGATCACATGACAAGTCACACCTGTGTGAATCCGGGCTAAGATAACAACTGTGCTCAAGTGCTTGTAATAACTAATTTTAGTTTCATGACCCATCAATCCTAAGCCTCTCACACAATCCTAACACAATAAGCTCAGCGGGAGATCGCTGGACTAACATAGAATTTTTTATATATTTTTTTTTTTCGTTCAGCCTGTGTGTACGATGTGTTCGGAGTTGAGGCCAATTTTTGATGCTGGGCATTGACAACATAGTCCGGAAAGTAGCATGAGGCCAGCTCCTCCTGAAAAAATTTGGTTTGCTTATATGCAGCTTGGACTTTAGATCCCCCTCCCCTATTGTAAAGTTAGGCTACACAGCACTGTTTGGCTTGTACGATAGTGGAGCCTTTTACATTTTTAACTTCTGTTTCCAAGTTATGTTCTCCTAATCACCATCATTTCTGGACTTCAGAGGTTACAAATCTTACACAGCTTATTGTTCGGTAAAATCATGGGGAAAATTTCCTTTTTGCTTACCAGTCTTCAAGTGTTTTAACACTACTCACACTGGAAAATCTGCAAACAACCCTGTTAAAATGGTAATTAAAGATAAAGGGCCCCATGCAAAGAAATTAGTTCATAATCGCTTCCTACTGCCAGTGTTGCTGATCTGTAATATAAATATACAATTGCTTGAACTATCAAGCACTGCAGTAGTGTAACCTGGTAACCTGCGGACACAGTAGTGACATCAGGGGTGTGGAAATTTTGAAAAACTACTTGTCCAGGGACTAAATCGGTGTCCCAATCTACTTGCCCCGTATGACAACTTCTCCTGATTAAAAAAAAAATCAATTTTACCCAAACTGTATTTAAATCGGAGGTTTACATTGTAATGGTATTGTTCTGGATTTTTAAATCAAGAAACTATTGGCTCTATTATAATATTAGGAATGTTTTGGGACTTTTAAAATCAAAAAGGGCTCTATGATGACTGAAACGTTTAAATTTTTTTAACATTGCGCTGTATTTCTTCTCCTTTCCCCGGGAACTAGCAGGTACAGGAGAAGACCGTGCAGTGTAATGAGCACTGATTGGGTGCTCGTCAGGGAAGGGGAGTGTCAGGCTTATCCTTTTTGATGCCAGAGCCATTTTTGCGTTTTTTTGCACACGTTTAAAATTAATTTTAGGCTTGAAGATTACATAAAATCCCCAAACATATCTTTTCGGAAGGCAAAGACCCTAGAGAATAAAATAGCGGTAGTTCCAAATTTTTATGTCGCACGATATTATTGCAAAGGTCTAGAAAACGCAAAATTTTAGTAACAACATACACTGAAATTAATTTTAGGGCCAAAAAAAGCAATAAATTACCCTATTTTTGTAAAATATAAAAGATGAGGTTGCACTGAGTAAATAACTAACATGTCAAACCTTAGTTATCAGTCATCAGTATAGTGTTACGGAGGATGTCTCATGCTAGAATTATTGCTCTGATTCTGGCATGCACAGCGATATGTAACATATGTATGAACATTTTCATGCATAGGCGCGCACTTTTACTTTTGTAGGGGGGGGGGGGGTGCCTCGGTCCCGTGGTGTGTCCCCTGCAGCTCGTTTCACCGGCCGTCCTGTATTCCAGGAGGCTGGCATCTTCAGTGTGGGCACCCAGCTGTGACAGCTTGCGGCTTCACAGCCGGGTACCCACTGCGCATGTGCGAGTAGCGCTGCACTTCGTGAATGGTCCTGTAGTCTTCTGGGACCTGTCACGTGTCTCAAAAGACTACAGGGAGGGAGGGAGGACACCTTCCGTTTCCAATCGCCCAGGCGATCGGACCAGAAGTGGGAGCGGGTACCTGTCGAGTTCGGGTACCCGCTTCCCAAAGGTGCCAATCCTTAATGGGGAGCGGGGGAGCAGTCCTTAAAGCGGAACTTGCCCTTTTGGGTGGAGCTCCGCTTTAAGGATGATCATTGTAAGCTCTCCGGTCAGTGGTAAATGGTTTGTCTCATCTCTGTAACTGATATATCTGCAGGATAGCTGCTTCTTTTTAAAAAAAAACAAAAACTTACTGCCTGGATCAACAGATAAAACTAAAAGCCTAAAAAGTATAATACTGAGTGACTAGTACATGGATATATTGTACCATGTAGTCTTTCGATTTTTTTTTTTTTTTCCCAGTGCCTCTGTAACTATTGGAAAATGTAAAACATTTCCTAAAGCCGTTGCCTTAATTTGTGTTTTTCTACAGATACATGTATTGGACCGACTGGGGAGAGAACCCAAAAATCGAACGTGCTGCGATGGATGGCTCCGATAGGCTGATTTTGGTGAACACCTCCCTAGGCTGGCCCAATGGTCTTGCCTTGGACTACACTGAAGGGAAAATATACTGGGGAGATGCCAAAACAGACCAGATAGAGGTGGGTTACTTTTCTGTTTTTGGAGAGAGTATGGGCTCGTTCACACCACTACCATACTGCAATATAGCTGTGTGAATAGCACCTCATGAAGTGTCACTCAAAGTTAATATATTTTCATACCCCAACAAGTGGTGTGTGTGTTTTTTTTTTGTTTTTTCTTAATACATGTGGCTTCCTAACTTTCAAAGATTAGTTATTTTGATGGAAAATCTATATGTATGTTTATCTCCTCCATCCCCCCCCCCCCCCAAAAAAAAAATCTAATTATTGTAATAATATGGTCTTTTTTATCTCCTAGTTGGTACTTAAGTCCTGTGAGTGGGTGATAAGCTGTATTGGTTTGTAGCTTCTATGTGAGCCTACTGATGCTTATGTAGTTATCCGATGTGCTATCATCCATCAGTATGAAACCTTTCAATGATGGAATGAGTATCTAGGGCCCCCAACATGACACTGTTACAGCAAAGCTGCTTTTCTCAGGTGCTTGCTGTGACTATTGTAGGCCAGGATGGGCTTGGGAAAGCTCTAAGCTGCATAAAAAATATATGTATATTTAAAATTTTTATACACATTTTTAATGTCATTTTTTTTCCTTCGAAGTACAGTAATTACTTTGTTGGTTCACTGGCAGCTTCTGAGACATTGATAAGCTGACCGTGGTGGTTAATGGAGCCCAGCAGGGGGGTTCAGAAGGAGGCCTTTGTTCCCCATTTTATCTGGCAGCCGGCAGCAGACAGAACCAGACTGTGTCTCTACAGCAGTGACATTAATCTCGCTCAGATTTCTCAAAAAAGATGGCTGCCTCTCATTGTGGCATACCAGCGGGGTGTGGGAGGTGCAATTATTATAAACTGCACATCAAGACTTGCTTAACCTCATGTCTGCCAGGCCTTGTAGCTGGGTTTTATTTCTGTTCTATTGCAGATATATGCTCGCCTTTAGTTTGTTGAGATTTTATATTCAGTTCACTGTGCACTTTTGAAAATTAGCCTTCGAGATCTGTTTTCGGGTAGCAAAAGTAACAAAGCCAGTAGCTGCTCCGGCTTTATCCCCAAATATTCAGAGTACCAAACAGTGTAGTGCTTGACAGAAATCTTCTCAAATAGCAACATACCTCAGTGTGAATCCAATGGTTTCTGCCTCACAGGCTACGTATGTGGTCAGTGACATAACTGGTAATATAGCTATATAGGTGCAGCTGTGGTGTCCCAGAAATCGGAGAATGACCTCTTCTATATGGACCCTCTCACAGGTAGTTTTAATGACAAATAACTTTTTAAAAAACTTTGGCTCTTTGTACGTTTGTACATTCAGAGAGTGGAGGATTTAAAACAAGCTCATGGCTGCAGTGTGGACATGTGAAAAGACCCCTAGGGGTCTAATAGACCTCTGATGTTTACCTAAAGAGGACCTGTCACCTTCCCAATGCTATCACATAGGCAACTTGTAAAAAATCAAAGCATTGAAAAAAAAAAGTATAATAAGATTGAACAAAAATGTTATTAAATTAACTGTAACCCAGTTGCCCTGCACACACCTGAAAATGCAAAACTGTGCACACATGTGAGGGATCGCCACAACTGTCCAAGTGAGTCCAGAACTCCTAGGGGTCATGGTATCTCTAAACTGGTAGTTCACTTCTAGTTACTGCCAACCTGTTGACCTGTTCAGGCTTTAAAGCATTGCCTATGGAGTATTTTAGTACCATAGTTTTTTGTGATATCGCGGTACATGCAATTTAAGACTTTATTTGTGCTTATGGAATCCTTTCTTTTATATTTATCTGAGAAAAAATGTGGGTATTATAGTGTGCGTGTGCACTAAAATTAATTTCTATTCTTCCCTGAATAATGCGTTTGATAAACCGTTGCACAAGTATTGCGCAACGCAAAAAATTGCTACAACCATCTTTTGATTATTAAAAATAAATAAAAAAAAAATATTGAAAGTTGATAAAGTAGAAACAATTATCAGATGACAGAAAATTGTTCATTGTATATCTCATGCAAACTGTTTGACCAGCACTGGAAGAATAGACGACAAAATAAATACATGGCAAAGTGAGTCATTTTTTTACAATTCTGAATATCTTATGAAGCCTGAGCCATGATATCCAAACTAGTGACAATCCATTGTAGAAAGTAATTTCAGTACGGTTTTTAGGCAGGAGTAGATTAAACCATCTGGAATATACCAATATGGAGGTAAAAAAAAAAAGGGGACAGGGCAGAGAAAGACAAACCTAAACACAAGAAAAAATACCATGTACTTAAAGCCGGAGAGAATAATCCTGGGACCTATCTGACGAGCATAAAATTACGCATTATGGGTGTGCTCTGTCACATATCCACCCTTTCCTGTAGTGGAAGGGTAAAAGGTGGCCTTACAGAATTCCTTCAGCCAGAGTGTGCCTGAGACTTAATTATTTGCAAGTTCACTAGAGTAGTGTATATCCATTCCTCCCACATATCCCTAAATTTTTCAAATGTGTCTTTAGTAGTGTGAACTAGTGGTGCACAGAAATGAAAATTCTGGTCTGAAACCAAAAATTCAAGATGCATTTGTCCTAAAACTGAAATGAACCGTTTAAAATAAATATTGGGATGCCTGCCATTACACGCACCTGTACTTTAATGGCATCCCAGTCTTAAGTCCGTAGGGTTCAATATTGAGTTGGCTCACCCCTTGCAGCTATAACAGCTTCAACTCTTCTGGGAAGGCTGTCCACAAGCTTTAGGAGTGTGTCTATGGGAATGTTTGACCATTCTTCCAGAAGCACATTTGTGAGGTCAGGCACTGATGTCGGACAAGAAGGCCTGGCTCACAGTCTCCACTCTAATTCATCCCAAAGGTGTTCTATGGGGTTGAAATCAGGACTCTGTGCAGGCCAGTCAAGTTTCTCCACCCCAAACTCACTCATCCATGTCTTTATGGACCTTGCTTTATGCACTGGTGCGCAGTCATGTTGGAACAGGAAGGGGCCATCCCCAAACTGTTCCCACAAAGTTGGGAGTATGAAAATGTCCAAAATGTCTTGGTATGCTGATGCGTTAAGAGTTCCCTTCACTGGAACTAAGGGGCCAAGCCCAACCCCTGAAAAACAACCCCACACCATAATCCCACCTCCACCAAACTTTACACTTGGCACAATGCAGTCAGGCCAGTACCGTTCTCCTGGAAGCTGCCAATCTCAGACACGTCCATTGGATTGCCAGACAGAGAAGCGTGATTTGTCACTCCAGAGAACACGTCTCCACTGTTCTAGAGTCCAGTGGTGACGTGCTTTACACCTTTGCATCTGACACTTTGCATTGCACTTGGTGATGTAAGGCTTGGATGCAGCTGCTCAGCCATGGAAACCCATTCCATGAAGCTCTCTATGCTCTGTTGTGTTAATCTGAAGGCCACACAACGTTTGGAGGTCTTTAGCTATTGACTCTGCAGACAGTTGATGACGTCTGTATGCTTCAGCATGTGCTGACCCCGCTCTGTCATTTTACGTGGCCTTCCACTTTGTGGCTGAGTTGCTGTTGTTCCCAGTTGCTTCCACTTTGTTATAATACCACTAACAGTTGAGCGTGGAATATTTAGTAGCCAGGAAATGTCACGGATGGACTTATTGCACTGGTGGTAATTTTATAGCCAAAACTGCGGATTTTAATGTGTGCAGAAAAGGGGAAAAAAATGCTCTAGAGGGGAAGTAGTTAAAATGCCTCACCCTTTCCATGTTACAAATCTCTCCTCAATTGAGAATTGCAGCCAATGCCATCAAAATACCATTGATTAAGACTAATAAAAAACTTTTGCCAGGAACTGTGTAGATTTGTAGTGGCCACAATTGGAATATGGATTGTTTAATATATCCGATGGAACTGTCTGCAATGTGTAGCTTGTTTAGAGGTTTGCATGATCTTCTGTTAATTAAATGCTGACATATATTATTTGAGTGCATGCCAAAGTGCACATAAAAAGGGAGGTTTTAAAGGTACAACTTGATGGTACTATTAAAGTAGTGTCATATGGTGTCCAGCCACGCAGCTCAGCAACCAAGCAACAAATTAGAACTGGGTCGAAGTGCTATATGCACTTGGACCCTTGGGGGATTCAAATGGGATTTTTAAAATGTGGTGATGCTGCTTTAATACCATTTATTAGACTCTCCTAAACTTCATTGAGAGGGAGGAGATCCATATGCTTTTGGCCATATAGTGTGCTTGCAGTATATTTTATTTGTGAAAAACTAACCCCATGGAAGTAGTTGACTTTTTCAACACATTTGAACAAACACTAGATCTTGATGCAAATGCAGAAAAAAGGTTGATATACTTGAACAAACTACACACAAAAAAAAAAAACATTGTCATTTGGAAAAAGTAAACCCTTACGTTTTCCATCCCTCCAATCTATGAAATTAAACTCCAGTGTTCAGATTAGGTGCCAATGATTAGACCTCCTTAGGGTATATGCAGGTGAAATCTATCTATCTTTCAAACCTAAGTTATCTAGGATCTAGTGTTCTCTTTGCTAATTATGTTTTTTGTCATCATGCCAGTATCAATCAAGCTCTCCAAAGATGACCATTCACTATACAGTCTGATTGTACAATATCCTTCAGGCTCCATGCCCACTGGGTGTTTTGATAACGCTGGGAACGTTAGCTGTGTAAAGTCACGTTAAAACGTGAGGTTTTTTTTAGCGTGTTTGCATTAGCATTTAGCAGCGTTATGCCACATCTAGTGGCGTTTTTCCACGTTTGCGGTTTTTTTTAGCGTTTTTTGATCCCCTTGGGGGGGTTAAAAAAAGTCCAAAAACTGCGGTTTGCTGCGTTTTTACTATGTTTTTCAGCATTAGAGCGTTTTTTTTCAGCTAAAAAAAACTCCTAGAAACCCACTAGTCCTGGGGTTTTTTTTTTTTTCCACCTAAAAAAACCGCCCACTGCCAAAAAATGTTGATTACAGTCTGTGTGCATGGACACATAGGATAACATGCTGGGTGGGTTT